TGGTGACGTTAATGGTGGTGATGAAGGTGAGATTAATAATGATGATGGGTAGCTGTGGTGATAACATTGATGGTGGTGATGGTGAAAGCAATTATGGCAATGGTGGTAGAGGTGGTGGTAGTGGTGGTAACATTGATGGTGGTAATGATGGTAATAGTAATGATGGTAGTGGTGGTGAAGTGGAGGTGGTGGTGGTGGTTGTAGTGGTGGTGTAGCAGTTAGTGCACTGCGCTACGTTCGATTCCTGCTCACAGCCAACACCGGTGACTATTATCTGAACCGGTCCTGTGCCTCCCCAAGGTCGACTCAGCATCAAATGAGTACCTGGTGCGATGTGTAAACATCGCCACTAGGGAGACAAAGGCGGCCGGGCGTGGTGCTGGCCACCCACCCCGCCTTGTGCTGTGCCGGCCTTCATAGCTGCTACTCGCTAACAGCACTTGCCCCAACAGCCTGTCCAGGCTATACGGGGGATCTTTGTCTTTGGTGGTCGTAGTCAGCTTCCTCCACTCGTCGTCGCTGGCGACTAGAATAAGATCAATAAAATAACAGAACCGTCCCTCAGGCGAAACAACTTAAAACCATTTTACACATCCCATCAGCGAGAAACTTCAGCAGCATTGAATCAACACAAGCAAAACTGCAGACCGGTTTTGACTTTCGGTGTCTCATCAGCAAACTTTCCTGACTTGCTTGAACCAATGCTGGCGAAGCTGGCAGTTGCGTATAGGCAAGGATTGGTTTCGACTTTCAGTGTCTCATCAGCAAAGTCAGGCTCGCTTGAACCAAAGCTGGTGGACTACCAGGTGTGTATAGGCAAGGATTGGTTTCGACTTTCAGTGTATCATCAGCAAAGTCAGGGTCGCTTGAACCAAAGCTGGTGTACTACCAGTTGCTTGTAGGCAAGGATTGGTTTCGACTTTCAGTGTCTCATCAGCAAAGTCAGGCTCGCTTGAACCAAAGCTGGTGGACTACCAGTTGTGTATAGGCAAGGATTGGTTTCGACTTTCAGTGTCTCATCAGCAAAGTCAGGCTCGCTTGAACCAAAGCTGGTGTACTAACAGTTGTGTATAGGCAAGGATTGGTTTCCACTTTCAGTCTCATCAGCAAAGTCAGGCTCACTTTAACCAAAGCTGGTGTACTACCAGTTGTGTATAGGCAAGGATTGGTTTCGACTTTCAGTGTCTCATCAGCAAAGTCAGGCTCGCTTGAACCAAAGCTGGTGTACTACCAGTTGTGTATAGGCAAGGATTGGTTTCGACTTTCAGTGTCTCATCAGCAAAGTCAGGCTCGCTTGAACCAAAGCTGGTGTACTAACAGTTGTGTATAGGCAAGGATTGGTTTCCACTTTCAGTGTCTCATCAGCAAAGTCAGGCTCGCTTGAACCAAAGCTGGTGTACTACCAGTTGTGTATAGGCAAGGATTGGTTTCGACTTTCAGTGTCTCATCAGCAAAGTCAGGCTCGCTTGAACCAAAGCTGGTGTACTAACAGTTGTGTATAGGCAAGGATTGGTTTCCACTTTCAGTGTCTCATCAGCAAAGTCAGGCTCGCTTGAACCAAAGCTGGTGGACTACCAGTTGTGTATAGGCAAGGATTGGTTTCGACTTTCAGTGTCTCATCAGCAAAGTCAGGCTCGCTTGAACCAAAGCTGGTGTACTACCAGTTGTGTATAGGCAAGGATTGGTTTCCACTTTCAGTGTCTCATCAGCAAAGTCAGGCTCGCTTGAACCAAAGCTGGTGTACTAACAGTTGTGTATAGGCAAGGATTGGTTTCCACTTTCAGTCTCATCAGCAAAGTCAGGCTCACTTTAACCAAAGCTGGTGTACTACCAGTTGTGTATAGGCAAGGATTGGTTTCGACTTTCAGTGTCTCATCAGCAAAGTCAGGCTCGCTTGAACCAAAGCTGGTGTACTAACAGTTGTGTATAGGCAAGGATTGGTTTCCACTTTCAGTCTCATCAGCAAAGTCAGGCTCGCTTTAACCAAAGCTGGTGTACTACCAGTTGTGTATAGGCAAGGATTGGTTTCGACTTTAAGTGTCTCATCAGCAAAGTCAGGCTCGCTTGAACCAAAGCTGGTGTACTAACAGTTGTGTATAGGCAAGGATTGGTTTCCACTTGCAGTCTCATCAGCAAAGTCAGGCTCACTTTAACCAAAGCTGGTGTACTACCAGTTGTGTATAGGCAAGGACTGGTTTCCACTTTCAGTGTCTCATCAGCAGCAGGGCGGAATCCAACAAAAAAATCGATAGGTGTGCAAAGTAGACAAAAAATGTAAGCAAGTTACTAAAATAAATCAAATAAAAAGGCACGAGTAACAAATTGTAAATTTTCATCACTAAACGCAGACGCAGCGCCCCAATAACATTGCACATTTAAGCAACGCTTATCCACAACAAATTAACAAAAACACCGTCGCGAGTTTGAATTATTTACTCTATAAAGTTGCAAAACTCTCACAATTTTCTTACAATTCACCCTCGAGTTTAACCACACGCCAGGCACGTTTAATTGCTCTTTAACAATGTAATCATCTCAATTCACACTCTGGTTAAACTCGCGATAAACGAAAGTGAACGCTTTAAATTAACTTGCATTCGCAGAGTTGTTCCGCACTATGGGGGGGGGGGGGTTCTCGCCCGGCTTCTCGCTGCCGGCCTCCTGCTCCCTTCTCCCGGCTCACGTTTCAGGCAAGCGGCTAGGGCCCCGATGTGAGATTCCAGGCCCTCGTTAAGCGACACTTTGCAAATGTCGGCCGTGAAGGACGCGGTTGGCCCACAGAGGGAGTGCCCTACGGTAAATTAACATAATTTATGTAATATTATACTAAGTTATGCTAAATTATGCTAATTTAGAGTCAAGTCCATCACAAACGTAACACGAGTTTATTAAGCCCTCAGGAATAACACGTTTATAAATAAAACATGTTGCTACAACTGGCTCAAACGGTGCGCAGCTGTTGATGGGAGCGGCGAACGGCGGCTCAACGTCGACCAGAAAGCCGAGAAGAAAGACGTCCAGGGGTCAGAATATTTATTGCTGGAGGAATCCGAAGAGCTATAAAGCTCTTTTTCACAGATGTCCAGCAGGGGCGGGTCAGCAAAGTCGCAACAACAAACGATACAAAAAAAAACACGATAGGAGTGCAAAATTTTGGAAAGGTAAGGAAATAGCTCAAAAAAATTAAATAAAAATAAAGTATATAAGTTCAAATTGCACAAACACAACGATTATCAAGCTTGGGCAAGGCAGCAAAAACAGCCCAGACCACGGCAAGACAACGGCTCTCAGTCGCTCACTTGGAGGGTGTCACTCACAGCCGTGCAGGTTGAACCCAGGAGCGCCACGGTGGCTTTGAGATGTTAACTACCTCGCCTTGTATTCAGGAGGTTCGTGGGTTCGATCCCGATCCTGACGCCTGCTGCTGTATATTTGGAGTTTGCGTGTCTCTCTCTCTCATCATCACAGTGGCTAGGGAGATGTTAACTACCTCTCTTGGTATACAGGAGGTCGTGGGTTAGATCCCGATCCTGACGCCTGCTGCTGTATATTTGGAGTTGGCATATCTCTGTCTCTCTCTCCCCGTGGTCGCATGGATGTTTCTCGGGGTCCTCCGGGTTTCCCCTCCACATTTATAATCGACGTCACGCGTTTGGACTATTTGGCTGCTATAAATTTCCACGCGATAAGGCACTCCGTCAAGCTATTATTTGTGGTAGCCAGGTTGCTTCTGAAAAAAATACCTATATAACTCTGGACATTACCTGGTAAAATTAAATAAAATAAGTTTAGTTTTATCGATAGGATACCCGCCGGTGAGACGGAGAGATCGATCGTGGATCGTCGCTTTCGCGTGACCATGAGGATATCGCGTCGGCTCAAGCAGAGCCTTCATCAAGCAGTGGATAGATCGTGGCGGATGATGGCTGCATACGTTGTAACCCAAGCTCGGGGTGTGGTGTCGAACCTGTCCCTCCACTTCACTGGTCCCACTTGCGTCCCCTCTGCCACCAACTCCCATCGACCCCTTTTTGTATCACCCCTCCTCCCTCCTACCTCGCTCGCCCATTTCCCCCTCACCCCACGAGCCCCCCCCCCCTCTCTCGCCCCCTGCTCGACCCCCTCCGTACCCCACTCTCGCCGCATTTCTCTCTCCATACTCACCTCACTTGCCCCCCCCCGTCTCTCACTCATACACCCCCCCACTCCCTCCCCCTCGTCCCTCTCTCGCCACCCCGATACCCCCCCCACCGAACTCACTCTTTATCTACCCCCTTGCACCCCCCCCCCCACCCACCTGCCACTCTCTCTCTCTCTCTTACCACCCCCACCTAACTTTCCCTAATGCCCCCCCCACCACCTAACTCTTCCCCCTCCCGTGCCCCCCCACCTAACTCTCTACTACCCCCCTTACATCCACCTACCACTCCCTCTCTTACCACCCCCACCTAACTCCCTCTCTTACCACCCCCACCTAACTCTCCCCCCCCCCACCTACCACTCCTCTTACCACCCCCACCTAACTCTCCATCCCCCACCTACCACTCCCTCTCTTACCACCCCCACCTAACTCTCCCCCCCCCCACCTACCACTCCTCTTACCACCCCCACCTAACTCTCCCCCCCCACCTAACTCCCTCTCTTACCACCCCCACCTAACTCTCCCCCCCCCCCCCCCTACCACTCCTCTTACCACCCCCACCTAACTCTCCCCCCCCACCTAACTCCCTCTCTTACCACCCCACCTAACTCCCCCCCCATCTAACTCCCTCTCTTACCACCCCCACCTAACTCTCCATCCCCCACCTACCACTCCTCTTACCACCCCCACCTAACTCTCCATCCCCCACCTACCACTCCCTCTCTTACCACCCCCACCTACCACTCCCTCTCTTACCACCCCCACCTAACTCCCCCCCACCTACCACTCCCTCTTACCACCCCCACCTAACTCTCCCCCCGTGCCCCCCCCCCACCAACCCCCCCCCCCCCCCCCCCAGGCGAGTGCGGCGTGCGCAGGTTGCGGGCGGCTCATAGCCGAGCGCTTCTACCTGCTCGCCGTGGGACGCACCTGGCACCTGCGATGCCTCAAGTGCCGCGACTGCGAGATCGCCCTCGACACGGAGCTCAGCTGCTACGCGCGCGACGGGGGCATCTACTGCCGCCAGGACTACTACCGGTACCGCTCAGCCCACCCACCACCACCCATCGGCTATAGCGTCCCCCCAACACACACCAGACCAGTGAGCTCATCAGCGACAGTGTCAGTGCCCCCCCCCCCCCTCTCGGCTATAACGTCCGGTGCCCTTAACGGACCCTGCATCCGATGACCACAAATACTTTCACACTGGCCCCCTTCTCAGCTCTCCCCCCCCCACGACTAAACTAACTAAAAACTAAATTTTGATTTAAAGCTTTCGTGACTGCAGTAATTCATATTCTTAGTTTTTTCCGGTAAAGTCACGTTGAAGACTTTACCGAAAAAACTAAGAATATAACTAAAAACTATCAACTATTTGTATTTGACGAGGTAAAGGGCCGCTGAGCTATCTACGGCTCTTTTTCAGAAGCGACCTGGTCGCGGATGATCGCTCAACAAAAGTGGCGTATCACGTGTGGACATTTAGAGCAGTCACACACTCGTTAGCGCGTGATGCTGATTCTGAATGTGGAGGGAAAACCCGGAGGACCCGGAGACAAAGCCACGCAACCACGCGGAGAACACGCACACTCCAAATATACAGCAGCAGCAGGCGTTGTCAGGGTCGGGATCGAACCCACGACCTCCTGCATACCAGGCGAGGTAGTCAACATCTCACCCCCCAACCCCCCCCCCCCCCCCCCCCCCCCCGCCGACACCCCCAGGCGCTTCTCATCGCAGCGCTGCTCGGGCTGCGGCTCGGGAATCCCGGCCTCGGAGTTGGTGATGCGAGCGCGCGACTCCGTCTTCCACCTGCGCTGCTTCCGCTGCGCGGCCTGCGAGCGGCCGCTCACGCCGGGCGACCACTTCGGCATGCGGGGCAGCCGCGTCTACTGCCGGCCACACTTCGAGTCGCTCCTCCGCGACGAGAGCCGGGACGACGCCGGCGGGGGCGCCGCGTCCGCCGGCGGCGGTGGCGGCTCCGTCGTGGGGGGCTCCGTGGCCGGAGCGGCGTCCTCCCTGCTCATGCAGGGGGGCCCCGGCGGAGGGGTCCTGGGCGGAGGAGGCTGGCACGAGGTCGGGCCAGGAGGCTCCCTGGGTCACGGCGGCGGGGGAGGCGGGGGTCCACCCCCCGTGCACGGCAGGGGCCGAGGGTCGGCGCAGAGACACCGCCCGCGCAAGCGGAAACCGTCGGCGGCGCACGGGGCGGAGATTCTGGAGTACGGGCTAGGTATGGGGGGCGGGGCTGGGGGGCTGGGGGGCGGGGCGGAGTGTCGTCAGTTGTCCGACGGTCCGTGAGAGGCTACCACGGGGTAGCGGCGCGTCGGGCGGTGAGAACTCAGCGAGCCGGCACAGGAGGGGAGGGCGCAGGGGGTGGTTGTGGTGCATCTGCCGCTCATCTCAGTCATCCGACGCCGCCTGGGTCTGTCCCGTGACCTCCTGCACCTAGCCTGGCACAGCAGTCATCCAACGCCGCCTGGGTCTGTCCCGTGACCTCCTGCACCTAGCCTGGCACAGCATTAAACCCATGGCACCTGGGTCTGTCCCGTGACTTCCACCTCCTGCACCTAGCTTGGCACAGCAGTCAACCCATGGCACCTGGGTCTGTCCCGTGACCTCCTGCTAGCAGCGAGCCTTTGACACTTCACGTGACGGAATCAACGTGCACCTAGCCTGGCACGAGCGCCGTGTTGACGTCACTGCCACTTAGGCAACGGTTGGCGCGCTGCGCTACGAACCCGGAGCCCCGAGTTCGATTCCCGCTCACGGCCACCACCAACACCAGTTAGGATTATCTGAATTGGTCCAGGACCTCCCCTAGGTTCGACTCGGCCTCAAATGAGCACCCGGTGCGGTGTGTAGTAAACATCGCCACCGGGGAGACAAAGGCGGCCGGGTGTGGTGCTAAACACACCAACCACTCGTGCGAACGGCACTCGCCCTACAGCCTTCCGAGGCTGCATGTTCACCACAAGTATGTGTGGTTAACGCAGACATGATTCCTTGGCAAAAAAAGGTTCCAATTCTTTGGGTCTTTCGGTAAGGTCACGTAGATAGGTTCAAAGAAAATAAGAAAAAACAACGACGCTTCGAGCACAACGCAAGCGATCGTCATCAGCACGATCAGGACGATCGCTTGTCGAAAGACCCAAAGAATATGAATTCCTGCGGTCACGAAAGCTTTTTAAGACAAAAAAGCTTTCTGTTTGGTGTTTTTGAACATCTTAAACGTCTCCCGTTTCATTTCCCAGAAAGGGTAAAACCCACGAACGGTCGGCCCCGCGTTGTATACCGGGGAAACATTGTGGGGTTTTTTTTCTTCTTCCGTTTTTGGGTGGTGGTCAATGCAGGCTTGGGCTGCGCCGACCCTGACGGCTGCCAGGACGGGGACTTGGGCTACCCACAGTCACAGAAGTCCAAGAGGATGCGCACCTCCTTCAAGCACCACCAGCTGCGTACGATGAAGTCGTTCTTCGCGCTCAACCACAACCCGGACGCCAAAGACCTGAAGCAGCTCGCGCAGAAGACGGGGCTCACCAAGCGAGTGTTACAGGTTACACCGCACCGCCACCACCACCACCACACCGCACCGCCACCACACCGCACCGCCACCACACCGCACCGCCACCACACCGCACCGCCACCACCACCACCACACCGCACCGCCACCACCACCACCACCACACCGCACCGCCACCACCACCACACCGCACTGCACCGCCACCACACCGCACCGCCACCACCACCACCACACCGCACCGCCACCACCACCACACCGCACCACCACCACACCGCACCGCCACCACCACCACATCGCACCGCCGCCGGCACCACCACCGCATCGCCACACCGCACCACCACCACTGCATCGCCACCACACCGCATCACCACCAACACCACCACACCACACAGCCACCACCACCCCACCGTACCACCACCACATCGCACCGCTACCGCACACCGGATCGCCAGAATCACCACACCGCATCGCCACCACACCACATCGCCACCACCACCACACCACATCGCCACCACCACCACACCACATCACCACCACACCGCATCGCCGCCACCATCACCACCACACCGCATCGCCGCCACCACCACACCGCATCGCCACCACCACACCGCATCGCCACTACCACACCACATCGCCACCGCCACCACACAACATCGCCACCACCACACCGCATCGCCACTACCACACCACATCGCCACCACCACACCGCATCGGCACCACCACCACACCACTAGCGTCAAGCGTCACACCGCACCACACCACCACCATGCACCACCAGTACCAAGCATTACACTGCACCTCCGCCAAGCATCATACCAAACCGCCAAGCATCGCACCACACCATCTATATACCACAGAATATATCACTGCACAATCAGCGGCACCACTGACCACTCACCGGGTTACACCGCGCGCCAAACCATCACGCCACCCCACCGAGAATCATACCACACCATGAACCACACCACCACGCGTCATGCCGTGCCACCACTACCACGCACGGCCCTACCACCCACAGGTCGCGCGATCCACCGTGGGTCACGATGGGCAGCGCGGATAGATATGGTCACGTGACTGTTGTCGCTGACCTCGCCTCTCTCCCTCCCCTTGCATCCCTCCCCCCCTCTTCCCCTGCCCCCCCCCCTCTCTCTTATCTCTACCCCCCTGCCCCCCCCCCACTGAACGCCTCAACCCCTCCCCTTGTCTCCACCTCGTCCCATCTCTCCCCACTCCGCCGACCCGATCCCTCCTTGCCCCACCCCTCCCATCCACCTGCACAAATCCTTTAGCCCTCCCCCCGCCCTTCCGCCTCCTGCCCCCCCCCCACGCTCCTCCCCCTCCCCCACCCTCCCCCCACGCTCCTCCCCCACCCTCCCCCACCCTCCCCCCACGCTCCTACCACCTCCCCCCACCCTCCCCCACGCTCCTCCTCCCGCCCTCCTCCCCCCACCCTCCCCCCACGCTCCTCCCCCTCCCCCACCCTCCCCGCACCCTCCCCCCACGCTCCTCCCCCCACCCTCCCCCCCACGCTCCTCCCACCTCCCCCCACCCTCCCCCAGGTGTGGTTCCAGAACGCTCGCGCCAAGTTCCGAAGGAACCTCCTGCGGCCCGAAGAGGGGGGGGGGCGGTGGCGCGGGCATGGACAAAGGGTGCGGGGGGGAGGGGGGCGGCGGCCCCCCCCACCCCTCCCCGGGGGGCGGGGACCTTTCCAGCCCCCCCCTGAGCCCCGCCCTCTCGGTCACCACCCTCACCGACCTGACCAATCCCGCGCGGCCCACGGTCACCTCCGTCCCGGGCGTCGTCCAATCGGCGAGCCCGCCCCCGCCCCACCTGCTCGCACGCCGCTTCTGATTGGTCTGGCGGGTTTTGTGTGGGGGGGGGTTAGAGTGGGGGGGGGGGCGAGGTTTCATGCTCGTTGTGATGTCACTCTCCGGATTACTTTAGCCGGAAAGTAATCAGGATTACTTTAGCCGGATTTACTTTACGCGGGGCCAGATTACTTTATATGGAAGGTAATCCGGATTACTTAACTCGGGCCCGGATTACTTTATCTTAATTACTTTATGCGGCAGGCGATCTGGATTACTTTACACGGGTTCGGATTACCTTATCTGGCAGGTAATCTGGATTACTTTACTCAGGTTTGGATTACTTCATCTGGTAGGTAAGCTGAATTACTTTACTTCGGTTCACATTATTTGATCAGAAAGGTAATGGGGATTACTTTACTCGGGGTTTGGATTACTTGATCTGGCAGGTAATCTGGATTACTTTACTCGTGTTCCGAGTAACCGGCCTCAGTTTTTTTTACTTCATCTATAGTAATCTACTTTGGATTATCCCCCACTGGGAGTGAGATCCTCGCTGGTAATCGGACTCCTCAGAATCGGGTTTCAATTAACCCGACCTCCAGATTACTTTCTGGACCGCGTTCACTCGCACTCAGTCTGAATTACGGATTACTGAGATTACTGAGATTCGCTCAACACGAGTTGAGATTACCCAATCCCTCGTTTGGATTTAACTCAAGCCCCGATAAAGATATAATGAATCTGTCCCCGGATCGGATTCCTTAAATTCTCCAATTATCTTCAGATGACCCGACTCTTGTGCTTCAGATTACTAGGTCTACAGATGCAATCGGATTACTCAACACCCAGTAAACGTGAAATCGACCACATGCCGGGCAACGTTGGCTTGGTTACGTTTGGTGGGCGACTCGGGTTCCAATCACGTGGCCCCCAACAAAATCCATTTCAGGTCACTCGACCTCATAATCGCCGGCTTGTTACCCTACCTCCGGTGAGTGGATCTTTCCGATCGGACCGGACCACTCGGATCTCCCGTGGGGAGAAGATGAACAGAACCCGGGATGTCAAGCGGGAATTCCTGGAGCTGGAAAGTTCTGAAGACTCTCGTCTCCCCTCGTTCCCGATCAACGTTGACCCCCCAAGGCTGCGATGAGGACCGCTTCTTTGTGTTTAGTTTTGTCGTCTTTCCCTTGGCGCCTCGGGGTTAGCGCGGTTGGCGAACGTGCGGTTCGCAAGAAGTTCACCACACACACACACGTGAGCCTCTGTTCCGATCAGCCAGGACTTAAGTTCATCTCCAAACAAAACCGTGCAGTGGGAGGGGGGGGGGGACTCAGTTCTGCTTCGAGGGAGCGTGAATTAAACACTTTAATCACGAGAAAGATTATTCCAATTGAAGTATCGATTCACGATGCATTCTGTTGTGGTTACACCACCACGTGGGAGCAGCGCCAGCAGTAGCAGCAGCGACGACGACGCTGCCCGGTGATTAAAATCTTGTGTCGTCAAGAAGCCTGCTCCCCCACCCACCACCCGACGCTGTCGCTCGACCCACAAAGGCTGCCTCCCCCCCCCCCCCATTCACCGACGAAGAAATATTATCTTCGCTGGGGAATAAAAATAGGCTATTTGGTGGGCAATTCACGGCTCCTTGGCAACTCCGCCAAGAATCCTCAGGATTAGAGAGGACCCAGGAAGGGAGAGGCGTTGAGCAATGTTAATATTACTGTTGTTGTTATTGTCATCAACGTTACAACAACAACAAAAATAACGCAGAACGGTACGAGCGTTTTTACATGGAAGCCTCTTCTTCGAATGGGACAGGTGACGGGGATGTGTAATGCACTACGCGCGTCCATCAGTCACGGACGGTGGGCGTCGCAGAGGTGTGTGGAGTGGGGGGAGGTGGGGGGCGATATTGTAGGCGAGGGGGTAAAGGCGAGGGGGTAAAGGCGAGGGGGTCGGCGGTGCGAGGAGACATTGGGGGGGGTGGGTGGGGAGGCGACGTTTGACCACAAAGAGAGACACGGGTTCGATTACCCGGTGACGTAATGTGTTGACGTTTCTCAAAAAGGTGTATAATTATTTCTAAATTTTTGTAAATAATAAATACTCGTCAGCATCATCAGCCATGGTATATCCACTGCTGGATGAAGGTCGCCTTTCTGTGCGCAAAGGATGAAAGGGGCACGTGAAGGATCTTCCCCCGTGCGAGATTTCCCAATGGATTCTCCACCCCCCCCCCCTCCGTATGAGAATTCCGAATTGCTTCCCCACCCCCCCCCCTGTGAGATTTCCGAATGGACTCTTCGTCCCAGGACTCCCCCCGTCACGCAGATCTCACCCACGATGGGGAATGAAACTGGCGCGATCCGAACCGGGGCATCGAACTTATCATCCATCCGCTCCTCGCTAATCCACGACTCTACCCCTTTCCCACTACAGTCCCTCCACCCCCAATTCGCCGTTTGTATTTTTTAAAAGTTTTGCCGAGAAACGGAGGTAAAGGAGGGGGGTGGGGGCATATCCCCTCTCTGTGCCCCCCTCATCTCGCGATGTAAATTCTGATGGTGCACGCCACCCCCCTCGACTTGTGTACAAAGGTGGCGTGGCCCCGGCGTGTTCGGTGTGCGGTCTCACGGCGGATTTATTTATTATCGACTACGAAGACGACGGTGATGATGGAGCGCGGTCGTGAAAAAAAAACATTACAAAAAAAATAAAAGTGGTTTTAACAGCATCGTTGTCACGTGATTGATCCCCATTATTTATCCCCCCCCCCCCCACCCCTTTTCCTGTCCCACAGCTTAGCAGCCCCCGCCCCAACCTTGAAGTGTTCCTACACATTCCTGGGAGCCTCAACCAAGTCACGTAGTCAAATTCTGCCCTCTTTAACATGGCCCCGCCCACTCGGCCGCTAGATCCACTCACTCGGTTCCTGGCCCCGCCCACATGGTTCCTAGCCCCGCCCCCTCGGATCATAGCCCCACCCACTCGGCCACTAGCACTGCCCACTCGGGCCTTAGCACCGCCGCACTATCAATAGCACCACCCCACTCGACCACTCACGACCCTGCCCAATCGGTCCCCTAACCCCACCCACACGTTTCCTAGCCCCGCCCAATCGGTTCATATCCCCGCCCACTTCGTTCCTAACCCCGCCCACTCGGCCACTAGCACTGCCCACTCGGGCCCTAACACTGTCCACTCGGCAACTAGCCCCGCCCACTGCCAGTAGGCAGCTGCACGCCACACACCAGGGAGGTATTTGGAGGCCCAGTCGACCTAGGGGACGGCCCTAGGACCGGCTCAAGATACAGTATTCGTCACAGATGTTGTTGCCCTGAGCGCGAATCGAACTCGGGCCGCCCGGGTTCCTAGCCAACGCTCTCTACAAAACAAAGATAACCCATATAGCCTTAACAGACTGTTAGGGGCAAGTGCTGTTAGAGAGTTGTACCTGATGGCCAGAACGACACACAAGGGGCTGGGTGTGCCAGCACCACGCCCGACCACCTTTGTCTTCCCAATAGCGATGTTTTTACACCCCGCACCGGGTACTCATTTGAGGCCGAGTCGACCTAGGGGAGGCCCTGGTGTTGGCCGTGAGCGGGAATCGAACCCGGGTAGCCAGGTTCGTAGCGCAGTGCGCTAACCGCTACACTACCGCCCCCTTCCTACCCAACACCCCTCACACACGCCCCTACACTCTCGCAGGGCCCGCGGGAGCGTGTTGTGGGGGTACAATGCGGACAGGGGGTGACGCCTGCTGGTCTCGTGTGGCATTGCAGGTCGTAGAGCGTGTGGCGAGGACCATGGGTAGGCGAGTGTGGAGCAGAGTGGGGTATGCTGGCGACTGGAGAGGCGTGTGTTGGTGGGCGAGCGTGCAGGTGGGCGAGCGTGCAGGTGAGCGAGCGTGCAGGTGAGCGAGCGTGCAGGTGAGCGAGCGTGCAGGTGAGCGAGCGTGCAGGTGAGCGAGCGTGCAGCGACGACGCTCCCCCATCAAGTCGCACACGGCGCTCGTGAAATGCAGGAACCCTTTATTCGTCGTCTGTGGTCAGCGCCACGAGCAGGTCGCGTGGCCACGTCGCGTGGCAGAGAAACCCCAATCACGGGGTGGTGGTGGGGGGGGTCTCCTCCATCCACTGACTAAGGTGGGGAGGGAGGGGGGGGGAGCCGAGTTTTGGTTCAAAACAAACAACGACTCCAACCACGTGTCCATCACAACAGCATGGAGGGAGCAGGAGATAAACAATAAGAAATAAAAAAATAACAATAATAATGATGACGAGTTATAGCAGAGTGACACAAGAAAATGGGGCCTGGGTTATGTGTGCGTGGGTAGACTGTCTAGTTGGTGGGGTTGTTGTAGACGGCTGTGGTGTTGTTATAGTTTGGGTGTTGCGTTGCCGTAGCGTTGTGTTGCCGCGTTGTTGCATTGTGTCCGGTTGTTGCTGTCTGCCCATGCGACCGCCTGTGTCTCTGTCATTCCGCCTGTAGTTCCGCCTGTGGTAGAGGCCGGTTCCATTCTCATCTCGTGCATTTGCCACCCACAGTTGCCACCCACAGCTGAGGCACCACTTCTCTTCCCCTACACCACTGCGCCAGGCTGTAGCTTGCTGTAGCAAGTCATAACCACCTGAGCCTAGCCGTGGCAGGCTGTTTGCAAGGCCACAGCTGAGGCGCTCGCTCTGGCATGCTGTAAGCGCTGTGGCAGGTTGCTGCGGTACATCAATGTCTGGCTGTGGCAGATTGCCACGGCTCTCCGTCGCACGCACGCAGCTTGCTGTGGCACGCTGTGACCAGCTTGCTGTGCCCCAAAGTCGCTGCTGCTGCTTTGCTGTGGCGTACGAATGCCTGCCTGTGGCACGTCAGGACTTGCAGTATCGGGGTTGCTATAGCCGTGGCGGGCTGTACTTCACAGAGTAGTAGCTTGCCGTGGGGCGTGCAGTCACCAGCTCAAATCAAGCAGTGGCGGCCAGCTGAATGCGACTGCTGTTGCCGTTTTCTGTGTAGGCCTGGTAGGCTGTAGTTTTCCCAGAGCTTGCTATAGGATACGGTGTCTCTTCTGTAGCTCGGCATAGGTGGTCTTGTAGCTCACTGTAGCTCGCCCTGCTACAGAGTAGCTCGCTGTTGGTTTTCCATGGCGGGTCGTGACAAACCATTTCGGGGGCCGTGGAAGACCACACGGATTGCTCTGGCACGCTGTGGCTTTGCCATGGAGGGGGTTGACACTCAGGAGAGGCGGTGCCCCCGCGCCGGCACGGCTGACGCGCGGCGGCGGCGTAGGGGACGCCGTGGCGTGCCACAGGCCGCCGTGGCGGGATACGGGCGGCCCTGGCAGACCGCAGGAGGGCTACAGGTGGCTGCGGCGGTCCACAGCCAGCCCATAGACGGCCGTGGCGGGGCCGTCTAGGAGGAGCCGGTGGTGGCGGTGGTGGCGGGGGAGGACGAGGAGGTGGCGGCGTGCATCTGCGTGGCGACGTTGTAGACGTAGCCGATGTCCGGCCTCTGCTCCGGGTCGGGACTGATGCACATGTTCACCAACTCCCGCAGCTGGGCAGCCACACCATGTGGCGGGGGGCACGGAGCAGGGGGGCAGCACACAGCAAGAGGTTAAACTCGAGTGGACAGGGGGTGTAGTGTGGCACTAACCCCTAGCCCAGACCCCAACCCCTAAAACACTAACCCCCCTATCCCCTAGCCCCAAACTCTGACACTAACGCCTAGCCCTTGATCCTGACATCCAACACCTAGCCTGCTCGATCTTCTTGCGTGGACGTCTAGAACGCTCTTCCTTCCGATATTAGAAAAGCCACTGGAGTTGCGCACTTTATAATCATCTACATTGAAAACTCATTTCTTTGGAACAGCTTTTAGTGTTTTGTTTGTCGGCCTTCCTCCGCGAATCCGATGAGCAGGGTTGGTTACGTACGGTGCATAGCCCTCGATCCTGACACTAACCCCTAACCCTGACACCAACACCAACACCTTAGCCCTGGCACTGACCCTTAACCTGTAGCCCTAGCTCCTTATAGCAAACCTAACCGTAACCATGAAGCCCTAGCCCTAACACTAACCCCTAGCCCTAACACTAACCCCTAGCCCTAACACTAACCCCTAGCTCTAACCCTAAACTAAACGCATCACTCGCGCCAAACCCATACAACAATAGACCCATCCCCAACTTCTTACTCCGGTCCCTTTAACCCCCACCCGACTCCCTTAAGACTCTCTGTGACCCCCCCTTATCAGCGGGGGGTGGGGTATTACCCTGCCCTGTACACCCCCCCCCCCCAGCCCCTCGGTAGTGGAGTGGGGGGCACCTGCTGGGAGTAGTAGTCGGAGGGGAGGGGAGGGTAGTCGCACTGCTCGATTTTCTTGCACAGCGAATACAGGTTCATCTTGTCCCCATAGAACGGACTCTGCAGGGCCGCCATCTGGCGGATGACGGGGGTCGGGAGGTTGGGGGTTGAGAAGGGGGGCGAGGTAAGGGGGTAGAGCGTGCAGATAGTTTAGGAGTGCGGGCGGGGGGGGGGCTAGGGTTGGATGAGGTTTGTGTGGAAATTAATGGGTGGCTCGGTGACTGACTTAATTGATGGGCGAGTAAGTGACTCGGTCAAATCAGTGGGTTGCTGAGCAGATGGGTGACTGAGCGACCGAGTGAGTGGGTGAGTAACGGAGTTAGTCAGTAACCGAGCTACTCAGCCGCTCACTCAAGGTCCGCCGACTTGACGGCCGCCGCTCGCACACCCCTCACCTCGTACAGGAGGCATCCGATTGACCAGATGTCGGACTTGAAGTTGTAACCGTTTTCGTGTATCCGCTCCGGAGACATGTAGTACGGAGTCCCCACTGGTGGGGGGCGGGGGGGGGGGGGCGGGGGTGGAGCGGGGTCAGAGGGGCCCACCGATGAGTTGCCACCAACCGGGGGAGGGAGGCCGGCGCGTGTGACCACCTCGCCAGCGTCCACGCGCCTCCGGGCCCTTGAGTGCGTTTCGTCTCGTCTCTGTGTTCCCGTGTGTCTCCCCAGGTCTCTCTCCCCATGCACCTCCTCCACGTGTCTCTCTCCCCATGCACCTCCTCCACGTGTCTCTCTCCCCATGCACCTTCTCCTCGTGTCTCTCTCCCCATGTCTCTCTCCCCATGCACCTCCTCCCCGTGTCTCTCTCCCCATGCACCTCCTACCCATGCACCTCCTCCACGTGTCTCTCTCCCCATGCACCTCCTCCCCGTGTCTCTCCCCATGCACCTCCTCCCCATGCACCTCCTCCCCATGCACCTCCTCCCCATGCACCTCCTCCCCATGCACCTCCTCCCCATGCACCTCCTCCCCATGCACCTCCTCCCCATGCACCTCCTCCCCGTGTCTCTCTCCCCATGCACCTCCTCGTGTCTCTTTCCCCATGCACCTCCTCCCCGTGTCTCTCTCCCCATGCACCTCCTCCCCGTGTCTCTCTCTCCCCATGCATCTCCTCCCCGTGTCTCTCTCCCCATGCACCTCCTCCCCGTGTCTCTCTCCCCATGCACCTCCTCCCCGTGTCTCTCTCTCCCCATGCACCTCCTCCTCGTGTCTCTCTCCCCATGCACCTCCTCCCCATGCACCTCCTCCTCGTGTCTCTCTCCCCATGCACCTCCTCCTCGTGTCTCTCTCCCCATGCACCTCCTCCTCGTGTCTCTCTCCCCATGCACCTCCTCCCCATGCACCTCCTCCCCGTGTCTCTCTCCCCATGCACCTCCTCCTCGTGTCTCTCTCCCCATGCACCTCCTCCCCATGTCTCTCTCCCCATGCACCTCCTCCTCGTGTCTCTCTCCCCATGCACCTCCTCCCCGTGTCTCTCTCCCCATGCACCTCCTCCCCGTGTCTCTCTCCCCATGCACCTCCTCCCCGTGTCTCTCTCTCCCCATGCACCTCCTCCTCGTGTCTCTCTCCCCATGCACCTCCTCCTCGTGTCTCTCTCCCCATGCACCTCCTCCCCATGCACCTCCTCCTCGTGTCTCTCTCCCCATGCACCTCCTCCTCGTGTCTCTCTCCCCATGCACCTCCTCCCCATGCACCTCCTCCCCGTGTCTCTCTCCCCATGCACCTCCTCCTCGTGTCTCTCTCCCCATGCACCTCCTCCCCATGTCTCTCGCCCCATGCACCTCCTCCTCGTGTCTCTCTCCCCATGCACCTCCTCCCCATGTCTCTCTCCCCATGCACCTCCTCCCCGTGTCTCTCTCCCCATGTCTCTCTCCCCATGCACCTCCTCCCCATGTCTCTCTCCCCATGCACCTCCTCCCCGTGTCTCTCTCTCCCCATGTCTCTCTCCCCATGCACCTCCTCCCCATGTCTCTCTCTCCCCATGTCTCTCCCCCCATGCACCTCCTCCCCATGTCTCTCTCCCCATGCACCTCCTCCCCGTGTCTCTCTCTCCCCATGTCTCGCTCCCCATGCACCTCCCCTTGCACTTCTGCATGCGTCTGCCCGTACGCCTCTCCCAGCGGCTCTTCCGCGCCCCCCACCCCCACCCCCAAGCATCTCCCCGCGCCTCTCTCCTCGTCCCTCCCCGCGCACCTACCCCCGCGCGAGTGTACCGAGGCGTACCGTACCGAGCGAGTGTGCGGCCGTGGTCTTGGAGCTGAAGAACCGCCCGAGTCCCAGGTCCCCCAGCTTGACGACGCCCGTCGCCGTGATGAACACGTTCGCCGGCTTGATGTCTGCGTCGTCGCGAACACACGCGCACAGACAAAGGTCTCTCCCGTGTGGCCCACGTACGCCGCTGGGGCAAGCTGCCCGTTGGGGAGCGTCGACGGGCAGGCGGACGGGTAGGTGGCGTGGGAAAGGGCGTGTAGGTAGATGCAAGGCGGTGTGGATAGGTTGGGTGGAAGGTGGGTAATGAGGTAGGTGGTGGATGGTGTGGGTAGATTGGTGGGTAGGTGGTGTGGGTAGATTGGTGGGTAGCTGGAAGGTAGGTGGTGTGGGTAGATTGGTGGGTAGGTGGAAATGTAGATAGTTTTAATAAACACAGTACTGGACACATACACACGCAAAACACAAAGACAAAGATCTCCTGTGTAGCCCACATAGGCTGTTGGGGCAAGTGTTTACAGCAAGTGCCTACGAAGGCTGGCACAGTGCACAAAGCAGGGTGGTGTGTGCGTGTGGAGTGGTGGGGCCATGGCGAGCGCATTGCGCTCCAACCCCGGCGACCAGAGTTTGATTCCCGCTCACGATAAATAACAGTGGCGAAAACGTGAACTGGTCCTGGGCCTGCCTTAGGTCGACTCGGCCTCAAATTAATATACCTGGGGTGGTGCGTAACCATCGCCACTAGAGAGACAAAGGCGGTCGTGTGTAGTGCCGGCCACCCACCCCCTCGTGCGCCGTGCCGGCCGTCATTAGGTGCTGCTCGTTAACAGCACTTGCCCCGACAGCCTGTTAAGGCTACACAGGGGGATCTTTGTCTCGTTTGTGTGCGTCTGTGTGCGTGCGTCTTGTGTCACCTCTGTGCATGATTCGGCGGGAGTGCATGTGTTCCAGGGCGCTGCACAGCTGTACAAAATACTTCCAGATCGTGCGCTCCGGAATTAAACGCTTCTGCTTCTTAAAGTGCTGCACAGGCTCGCGCACAAACACACAGACACACACAACGCGCATGGTGAACACATGGAGTAAACAGGCAGCACACACACACAGACACACACAACGTGCATGGTGAACACGTGGAGTAAACAGGCAGCACACACACACAGACACACACAACGTGCATGGTGAACACGTGGAGTAAACAGGCAGCACACACACACAGACACACACAACGTGCATGGTGAACACATGGAGTAAACAGGCTGCACACACACAGACACACACAACGTGCATGGTGAACACATGGAGTAAACAGGCAGCACACACACAGACACACACAACGTGCATGGTGAACACATGGAGTAAACAGGCAGCACACACACACAGACACACACAACGTGCATGGTGAACACATGGAGTAAACAGGCAGCACACACACACAGACACACACAACGTGCATGGTGAACACATGGAGTAAACAGGCAGCACACACACACACAGACACACACAACGCGCATGGTGAACACATGGAGTAAACAGGCAGCACACACACACAGACACACACACACACAACGTGCATGGTGAACACATGGAGTAAAAAGGCAGCGCACACACACAGACACACACAACGCGCATGGTGAACACATGGAGTAAACAGGCAGCACACACACACAGACACACACAACGTGCATGGTGAACACATGGAGTAAACAGGCAGCACACACACACACACAGACACACACAACGTGCATGGTGAACACATGGAGTAAACAGGCAGCACACACACAGGTTTACCCATATCCCCCCACTTCTGTGACCCCGTTTCCCCCTTTGTTCTCACCCCTATCCTCCAAGGTTATCCAATGTCTGTGTGTTTCCCTCGTGCGTCTCCACCCCCCCCGCCTCCCGTGTCTCTTCCCCCACCCTCGTCTCTCCACCCCCCCCCCCCCGTCTCTCCCACCCCCCCTCGTCTCTCCCACCCCCCCTCGTCTCTCCCACCCCCCCTCGTCTCTCCCACCCCCCCTCGTCTCTCCCACCCCCCCTCGTCTCCCCCCCCCCCCCCCGTGTCTCCTCCTCCCCCCCCCCGTCTCCCCTTTGTGCCCCACCGCGTGTCGCACCTTGATCATGCGGGAGAGGTCTCCGGCGTCTGCCAGCTCCAGCACAATGTTGAGTTCATTCTCCTCGATGAACGACGCCAGGTACTTTATCACGTTCGGGTGGTTCAGTTGCTGTGGGCGACACAAAGGAAAAGATCCCCCGTACAGCCTCGGTACACTTCTGTGGCAAGTGCTGTTAGCGAGTAGCACCTACGAAGGCACATGACGGGGGTGGGGTGGCCAAGCACCACGCCCGGTCGCCATTGCCTCCCGAATGCCTATGTTTACACACCGCACCAGGTACTCATTTGAGGCGGAGTCGACCTAGAGGAGGCCCAGGAGCAGTTCAGATAATTGTCACTGGTGTAGGCCGCGAGTGGGGAATCGAACCCGGGTTGCCAGGTTCGCAACGTGCTAGCCACCCAGCACGCCGCTCGTTGTTGTGAGCGTCGCTCCTCTGCCCCTCGGTTGTTCCTGAAGGGCGACTGCCTCCAAAGGCTCCAGAGGCGTCCTTCACGAACCTCCTGCACAGAGGCCGATGTTGACACTGCTAGTACCAGTCATCGACAAGTCCAATTAGCTCCACATCCTTCTGTACCACATTGGTCCATCTCTTCTCTAGCCTGTGCCGTGCCCAATTAGCCCCATCTATCCAGCCAAACAGAAGCTGCATGGGCATGCGGTGGTTGGGCATGCGGGTTCCATTACCAGCTAATGCAGCCTCACCTACCCGAGGAGCTGACAGACGATTCGGACTATCAAGATCTTTCAAGGATCTGTGAGCTCCTCGCCCTGCAATTCAGTCTGGTTAAACCCATTACACATACACACTTGTACACAATGGGGTGAGACTCAGTTGCTATGGGTGACATAGATTTGCAGAGACACAGTGACACACCGTGAGGAGAGACACACGGTAGTAACAGCAGCACGGCAACTCACCGTGACACAGAGACACGCAGACACAGATGCCACAGAGAGAGGCACACAGTAAGACAGATGCAGACAGAGATAATGAGAACCACATAGATGCAGATACAGACCCACTAACCACAGAAAGCCATGAATTCTGAGCCTTGAACTGTTAACCCCGATTTGACCTCTCACCTTGAGGAGGTCGATCTCCTTGATGCAGTCTTGCCGTGCCTTGGCGTCCATCATCTCAAAGATCTGAAGCACAGCGAGGACTTACTCACCAGCTCACTCACAAACTCATTCACTCACTCAGCAATACACTCAACAGTACACTTTCCAACTCAGTCACCTACTCACTCACTCGCTCAAACATCGACTTAACCACTCACCCACCCACAACTCAACCACCTCAATCACTCATTTATTCACGCTCTCACTAAACCTCCCACTCCACCCCACTAGCCTCACCCCACTCACCCACCCCTCACCCACCGCATCATCCACCCCACTCACCCACAGCACCGCATCACCCACCCCACCACTCACCTACCCACAGACCCAATCACCTACCCACTCACCCAATCACCCATCCATTCCGCTACCCCCGTGACTCACCTGCACCTTCTTGAGTGCGACGGGCATGTGGTCGAGCAGGCACGTGGCACGGTATACCTCGCTGAACTGGCCCCGTCCGATCTTCTTCTCAATGAGGAAGTTGACCAGCGCGTTGTAGCCCAACTGAGGCAGCAGGGGGCGCTGTGGGGACACGCGGGGGAGACACGGGTGGCGCAGGGGAGAGAGGGAGTCATGGGGAGATACATGGGAGGGAGAGCGGGTCTGAGGGAGGAATGGGAAGACATGGGGAGAGGGGCAGACATGTGGAGATGTAGGAGGAAGATCAGGGGAGAGAAAGGGAGGCACGGGAAGGCATGGGGAGGAAAGGGGAGACCATAGGGAGATATGGGGAAAGAGGGCCACGGCAAAGCGTGGAGACGGGGAGACGCAGGGAGACACGGGGGGACACGGGGAAAGGCATGCGGAGACTCCGCAGAGACAGCGAGACACGGTGAGAAATGGGGAGGTAAACAAATTCGAGACAGGGAGACATAGGGCGGCAAGGGCAGACGCATGGAGACGTGGGAAAGACATGGGGATGCAAGACGACATGGTGGGGGAGGGGAAGTCGTGAGGGAGTAATAGCAAGACGCGTCTCTCTCACCGTCTCGCCGCCTCTCTGCAATGTCTCCCCTTTCCCCCCAACGTGAGGACGTGGGAAGACACGGGGGGGTGGGAGGGGATCGTGGGGAGACGTCAAGCTCCCCTCTGCTTTGCTCACCTGTGGGCCTGGCTGCAGCACCATGAATGCCTGTTGCTGCTGCTGCTGTTGCTGCTGCTGCTGTTGTTGCTGCTGTTGCATGGAGAGGCTGGGGGGCTGTGGTGGGGGCGTCTGTGGTGTTGGGGGTTGCAGCTCCATCGTCTTGGCCCGGGGGGTGGGTGGGGGGCCCAGTAGGGGGGCCGGGCACTCCCTGTGTTAGGAGTGGGGGGGGGGGGGCACAAAGACAAAGGGCGCCACGGTGGCGAGATGTTAACTACCTCACCTGGCATACAGGACGTCAAGGGCTCTTCCCGCGGTCGCGTGCATTTTTCCTCCGGGTCCACATGTAGAAACACGCGTTTAAGAGTATTTGGCGGCAATAAAAGCCCACGCGATACAAGGCGCTTTAGTGGAGCCATTATTTGCGACAGCCGGGTCGGTTCTGAAAAAGAGCTACGTAGCTCAGAGGGCCCCTCACCTGGTAAAATAAATTTGAAAAGCACGCGGGGGGGGGGGGGGGGAAGAGGAGGAGAGGAGCCGTGGCGGGCGATGGGAATTCACAGGGCGAGCACAGCCGGAGCGAGGAGCACGTGGAGTGGACGGACGCGGCGCACAGGAATGATTTTGCGTAACAGAATCGCAACGCCTAGCTGTTGCGCACACGTGAAATTGGACGAGAGTGCGGTTAGGGCACGGAATGATGATGCACTGTGGGGCTGGCAAACAGGATGCCGCTTGCTGGGTGTGATGGAGTTTGTGAGAGAGCGAGTGTGAGTCAGCCGCCTTTCGAGCTGGGTAAATATTTAAACAAAATCCAGAGTGTGAGTTGGCATAGCTGCTACGTGACACACACAAGTATGCACTATGCATACGTACACACACGCATAGTACCGCATAAAACAAAGATCCCCACTCTATAGCAGACTGTTGGGCCAAGTGTCGTTTAGCTAGCACCTGTTAAGGTCAGAACAGCACACGATGTGTGGGGTGGCCAACGCTACGCCCGGCCACCTTTGTCTCCCCAGTGGTGATGTTTAAACATCACACCAGGAACTAAATTAAGGCCGAGTCGACCTAGGGGAAGGCCCAGGACAGCTTCAGATATTCACAGTTATTGGTTGCGAGCGGGAATTGAACTCGGGTCATCGAGTTCGTAGCTCAATGCGCCAACCACTACCACACACACACACATGCACACACGCTTATACATGATACATGCTCACGCTCAAACAAAGATCCCCCCCCCCCCAGTATAGCCTACTAAACAGACTTTTGTAGCAAGTGCCAATCGTGAGCACCTATGAAGGCCGGCACGGCAGACGAACGGGGTGGGTGTCCAGCCCCACGCCCGACACAGACCACGAAAAGAAAAACACATCAGCACACCCAACAGTCGCGCACACACAGACACACACACACAAGGGACACGCGCTCGCAGACACAACAACACCAATCGCCATTCTCCACTAAGTGGCGCTCGTGCTAATCTAAGTGACACAAAGACAAAGATCCTCCGTATAGGCTAAAGATACTTTTGTGGCAGGTGCTGCTAAAAACGAGCATCTATGAAGGCTGGCAAACATCGCACCAGGTACTCATTTGAGGCCAAGCCGACCTAGGGGAGGCGCAGCACCGGTTCTGACAATAAGCACTGGTGTCTGTGGCCGCGAGTGGGAATCGAACTCTCGTCGGGCAGGTTCGTGGCGGAGCACGCCAATCGCTGCGCCACCGCTCCCCAAAAGTCACGCACTGCGCAAACCCTCGCCGACGACACGGCGTCCCTGCTTGACACGAGCACACACGGCCCACCACTGTGTGTGAACCACGGCAAACACTGCGACCCTTCACGGACTAATCTCACCCAGATTCACATTCCCTGACAACTGTGGGCCCCCCCACCTCCTCCTCCCTCCCGGACAACACGAGCCAGACTGGGCTCGGGATATGGGACAAGATACAGCTTGTAGCCCTAGCTCCTAGCTCCAACGCCAACCCCTCGCACTAACGCCAACCCCTAGCACTAACGCCAACCCCTAGCACTAACGCCAACCCCTAGCACTAACGCCAACTCATACCTTCATAACTAGCCCTAAGCGTAGCCCAAACCAAAGCCTTAAAATTGTAGCCCGAAGCCTAGCCCTAAATGTAATGCGAGTCGCAAACCTAGCGCCTAGCACTGCCTCTAGCTCCAACCGTAGCCCTAACACTAGCCCCCTAACCACATCCCAAACTCAAGCCTGGAATCTAGTCCTAACTCTGACCCTAGACATAATCTTAAGTCGACCCTAGCCTTAACTCCAACCTTAACACCAACTCTAACGGAAGCACCAACCTTAACCTGTAACCCTCTAGCCCTGGCACGAACTTTAACCCCCAACACAGGCACCAACCCCGACTCTAACTTAGACCCTGACAGCTGGAACACGGAATCTAATCCCAACTCTTAGCTCTAACCCTTAGCAGCACTGCACCATGTAGGTCAAATGTTAAAGACCTCAACGCGGAAGATTCCTGCGTTTGAACTTCCATGAAGCTCATGGTCCACCCCAAATCGTATCCGCACAAACCATGGCGGATGCGGATGCACAAACTCCCCAGTGTGCGACTGTGATAATCCAGAACAGACGGTATAAGACAATGCCCCATCCACAAATACGAAGGCGACATCACAGCGACGACGGCGATGATGATGATGATACGCCGCTAACTCCACTGCTCCTGACGCGGTGATCTCTGGCTTGACCACCTGAATGTGAAATTTGTTGTTGCCTCTTGCATCTACATCAGCCATACGAAAGAAGAAGTTTGATACATATATACAGTACTGTTAATTCAATTCGATTTGGATTTAGTAGCGATCGGAATAATGCAATGGGTTAATATCTTACGGCTCTGGGTGTTAAGTGTACAGTTGGGTTTAAAATTTCAGTTTATCGAGCTCATTAATAACCGATATTCTTCATGTGCATTATACGATGTAATCTCACTTTATAATAAATCAAAGCATAATTAATTACTCTCAAGCTGACACCCATCAGTTAATTACAGAATTCAATTTCGATTTAAAGCTTTCGTGACTGCAAGGATTCATCTTCTTTGGTTCTTTCGGTAAAGTCACCAAGTAGAATGAGAATAAGAAGGCCACTTGCGTTGCGGCCGAAACGTCGTGAGAATTTTATTGTTTTATTTTATTATTTTATTCTCATTCTACGTGACTTTACCGAAAGAACCTACAGAATTCAACTTAAATTAGTTGGCCGTTGCTTCTGCTGCGTTGTCAGTGGTGCGTCCACACGCAGGCAACTCAATGCGTGGCCTTTATAGCGAAACAAAAATATGCTCCAAAAAAGGAGCATTGTCCGAAACGTCGCCGATTACATAAATATCGTATTTACATATATTTAAGGCAGCGGTGCTATTATCGAATGTGCCGAGTAGTTTGCATTGAACCGACGATAACATTATTTTGCGTTTAACATTGCGAGTACTTGTTCATTAAACTCCGTTGGTTTAGCAAATTGAGTGTAATAAATGTTCACATTAAAAGCTTTAAATAAAAAAAAATTAAATGGCCAGTTAATTAAGTTAAGTATCAGTTCAGCGGAGTTACAATGAAGACACTTTGCTTGGTATCCAACACTGCCAAAGCTCATGTTAAACGCACAGTTTAACAATGCGAGTTTAAACAATGTCGAGTTTAAATATTCGCATCAATAATGTAAAGTTGTTATCGCCTTACGTCAATGACTCCCAAGTGTTGGACCATTAGTTATATATACTGTACAACCTACACTTACTTATGCCTGTAACTTTAACAACTTTGTCAGAACTCTCGTTAGAAAACCACGATAATCACCGGAGGTTTAATCGTCGCGAGTTTAATGGGTTGTCACGTTTTAAACACCTGCAGTTAATTCTAAATTGTATTTAAAAACGTATAAAACTCTTAGCAGGGAGCACTTCATAGGGTTAGCCGGGCCCTGTTTTACACTTCCCATCACGTATCCGCAAACCGCTATCGCCGCGCGCGCCTATTGGCTACAGCACCCACCGCTCTCTCCGCCGATTGGTCAGAAGCAACAAAAATGGGCGCGGCCTAGCATATGCGGACTACGCTTTACAAAACGCGGCCTGAGTTAGCGTGAACCCCCCCGCGTCTTTCCTGGACATCCGGCCTGGTTAAGTGCACCCCAGAACCTCGGACTCATCCTGGAGGTTACCGGTGGTCCGTGTACCCCGGCTTCTTCCTCCTCCTCCCACAGTTCATTTACGCCGCAGTTTACAGCCTTTTACCGACTCCTTCAAGGCTAAACGTCGACAAAAAAAGAAGAACCTTTAACATTTTGCAAAAATAGTTTTAACAGCACCAGACAAGAGCGTTGTAAACTTTGCGAGGGGATGGCGGCGGAGGCGTGAGTAGGCCCTCCATCCAGCAGCGGATTGATCATGACCGACGTTGATGATCATCACGGTCATGGTGGTTACGAACCGAGAGGCACGCTTACCACAAGACCCTTAACTTAAACGCACGCACGCACACACACGTACGGTACGTACCACCACCGCACCTCCGATTGAGTACAGGCGCGCAGGGAAACCCAAGTTCAACCGTACACACCGCCACCGTCACCACCATCGGCTATGGCCGTGGTCGATCCACTGCTGGACGCAAGCCTCATCCTCAACATTTTACAACCTCCAAGGGAAGCCGCCCGCTGCGGGGAGTCGATGCCCGTCGGCCACGCCGTCTCGTCCACGAACGACAACTCTCCACCAACACACACCGTGCCCCCCACGCCACCACAGCACGCCCAGACGTACCTTTTAAATCGATCAACCTACACGCATGGCTGTCCTGCTCGACCCGAAACGCTCTTCTTGGGGGGGGTCCTAAACAAAGATCCCTGCAGATTTTGGAGAACTTTAACGACGAACCGGCGGCGTCGTGAGCCGACAAAACTCGCCACCAACTCGCCGAACTAACAACGACCGCGCCGACTCGGCGGCAAAGTCGCTCGCTCGCTCCCTGGCTCCCTGGCTGGCTGCAGCCAACTTAGCGGGCTCGCTCGAGGGGGGCTGGGGCCGACTCGAGGGGGGCTGGGACTCACTCGAGGGAGGCTGGGACTGTCTCAGGGGGAGACTGACTCAGGGATGACCGACTCAGGGGGAGACTGACTCAGGAAGGACTGACTCAGGAAGGACTGACTCAGGAAGGACTGACCCAGGGGGAGACTGACTCAGGGATGACTGACTTCGCTCGCCACTCACTGACTTGATAAATTAATTCCCCCGGGCGCGAGTGCGAAGCGGGTGCGAATTTAAGGGCGGTGGAGAGTGGAGGGGGAGGAGGGAAGTGGGAGGAGGAGAGAGGGAGGGGTGACGACGGAGGAGGAGACGCGGGGCGGATCCAGGGGCAGGGGGTGGAGAGAGAAGGGCAGGGTCTGCAGAGAGAAGGGCAGGGTCTGTAGAGAGAAGGGCAGGGTCTGGAGAATGAAGGGCAGGGTGTGGAGAGTGAAGGGTAGGGTTTGTAGAGTGAAGGACGGGGTCTGGAGAATGAAGGGCAGGGTCTGGAGAGAGAAGGGCAGGGTCTGGAGAGTGAAGGATGGGGTCTGTAGAGAGAAGGGCAGGGTCTGGAGAGTGAAGGGTGGGGTCTGTAGAGTGAAGGGCAGGGTCTGTAGAGAGAAGGGCAGGGTCTGTAGAGTGAAGGGTAGGGTTTGTAGAGTGAAGGACGGAGTCTGGAGAATGAAGGACAGGGTCTGGAGAGAGAAGGGCAGGGTCTGGAGAGTGAAGGGTGGGGTCTGTAGAGAGAAGGGCAGGGTCTGGAGAGTGAAGGGTGGGGTCTGTAGAGTGAAGGGCAGGGTCTGTAGAGAGAAGGGCAGGGTCTGTAGAGTGAAGGGTAGGGTTTGTAGAGTGAAGGACGGGGTCTGGAGAATGAAGGGCAGGGTCTGGAGAGAGAAGGGCAGGGTCTGGAGAGTGAAGGGTGGGGTCTGTAGAGAGAAGGGCAGGGTCTGGAGAGTGAAGGGTGGGGTCTGTAGAGTGAAGGGCAGGGTCTGTAGAGAGAAGGGCAGGGTCTGGAGAGTGAATGGCAGGGTCTGTAGAGAGAAGGGCAGGGTCTGGAGAGTGAAGGACGGGGTCTGGAGAATGAAGGGCAGGGTCTGTAGAGTGAAGGACGGGGTCTGGAGAATGAATGGCAGGGTCTGTAGAGAGAAGGGCAGGGTCTGGAGAGAGAAGGACAGGGTCTGTAGAGTGAAGGGCAGGGTATGTAGAGTGAAGGGCAGGGTCTGTAGAGAAGGGCAGGGTCTGTAGAGTGAAGGGCAGGGTCTGTAGAGAGAAGGGCAGGGTCTGTATAGTGAAGGGCAGGGTCTGTAGAGTGAAGGGCAGGGTCTGGAGAGTGAAGGACGGGGTCTGGAGAATGAAGGGCAGGGTCTGTAGAGAGAAGGGTAGTGGCTGGAGAGAGAAGGACAGGGTCTGTAGAATGAAGGGCAGGGTCTGTAGAGTGAAGGACAGGGTCTGTAGAGTGAAGGGCGGGGTCTGGAGAGTGAAGGGCAGGGTCTGGAGAGTGAAGGGCAGGGGTTGGAGAGAGAAGGACAGGGTCTGTAGAGTGAAGGGCGGGGTCTGGAGAGTGAAGGGCGGGGTCTGGAGAGTGAAGGGCAGGGTCTGGAGAGTGAAGGGCAGGGTCTGTAGAGAGAAGGGCAGGGTCTGTAGAGTGAAGGACGGGGTCTGGAGAATGAAGGGCAGGGTATGTAGAGTGAAGGGCAGGGTATGTAGAGTGAAGGGCAGGGTCTGTAGAGAGAAGGACAGGATCTGTAGAGAGAAGGGCAGGGTCTGGAGAGAGAAGGGCAGGGTCTGTAGAGAGAAGGGCAGGGTCTGGAGAGAGAAGGGCGGGGTCTGGAGAGAGAAGGGCAGGGTCTGTAGAGAGAAGGGCAGGGTCTGTAGAGGGAAGGGCGGGGTCTGGAGAGAGAAGGGCGGGGTCTGTAGAGAGAAGGGCAGGGGCTGGAGAGAGAAGGGCGGGGTCTGGAGAGTGAAGGGCGGGGTCTGGAGAGAGAAGGGCAGGGTCTGTAGAGAGAAGGACAGGGTCTGGAGAGTGAAGGGCAGGGTCTGTAGAGAGAAGGACAGGGTCTGGAGAGTGAAGGGCAGGGTCTGTAGAGAGAAGGGCAGGGTCTGGAGAGAGAAGGGCGGGGTCTGGAGAGAGAAGGGCAGGATCTGTAGAGAGAAGGGCAGGGTCTGGAGAGAGAAGGGCGGGGTCTGTAGAGAGAAGGGCAGGGTGTGTAGAGAGAAGGGCAGGGTCTGTAGAGAGAAGGGCAGGATCTGTAGAGAGAAGGGCAGGGTCTGGAGAGAGAAGGGCAGGGTCTGTAGAGAGAAGGGCAGGGTCTATAGAGAGAAGGGCAGGGTCTATAGAGAGAAGGGCAGGGTCTAGAGAGAGAAGGGCGGGGTCTGGAGTGTTCCAAAAAGAAAACCGATTCCGGGACTGTGCGTGAGGTAGAGATGGCTCAGGGTGCCGGGGGTGGTGGAGGTCTTCATCGAGCAGTGGATAGATCATGCCTGCTGACGGTGGCCACAATGGCCAATCACCACCACCATCGTAAGGGCCACCGGGGTGAGAATCCGATCAAACGACTCGCATGAGGCTCGTGACAAGGTAGAGGAGGAGGAGGATCAATCGATCACCCGTGAATGTCGTCGCCTCTTTAAGTCTTGGTAGTTGTTGTTGTGTTGGTAGTTGTTGTTGTGTTGGTAGTTGTTGTTGTGTTGGAGTTGTTGTGTTGGTAGTTGTTGTTGTGTTGGTAGTTGTTGTTGTGTTGGAGTTGTCGTGTTGGTAGTTGTTGTCCTGTTGGTAGTTGTTGTGTTGGTAGTTGTTGTGTTGGTAGTTGTTGTGTTGGTAGTTGTTGTGTTGGAGTTGTTGTTGTGTTGGTAGTTGTGGTTGTGTTGGTAGTTGTTGTCGTGTTGGTAGTTGTTGTCGTGTTGGTAGTTGTTGTGTTGGTAGTTGTTGTGATGGAGTTGTTGTCGTGTTGGTAGTTGTTGTTGTGTTGGTAGTTGTGTTGATAGTTGTTGTCGTGTTGGTAGTTGTTGTTGTGTTGGTAGTTGTTGTGTTGGTAGTTGTTGTGTTGGTAGTTGTGTTTGGTAGTTGTTGTCGTGTTGGTAGTTGTTGTTGTGTTGGTAGTTGTTGTTGTGTTGGTAGTTGTTGTCGTGTTGGTAGTTGTTGTGTTGATAGTTGTTGTTGTGTTGGTAGTTGTTGTGTTGGTAGTTGTTGTGTTGGTAGTTGTGTTTGGTAGTTGTTGTCGTGTTGGTAGTTGTTGTTGTGTTGGTAGTTGTGTTGGTAGTTGTTGTGTTGGTAGTTGTTGTCGTGTTGGTAGTTGTTGTGTTGATAGTTGTTGTTATGTTGGTAGTTGTTGTGTTGGTAGTTGTTGTGTTGGTAGTTGTTGTTGTGTTGGTAGTTGTTGTGTTGGTAGTTGTTGTTGTGTTGGTAGTTGTTGTCGTGTTGGAGTTGTTGTTGTGTTGGTAGTTGTTGTGTTGGAGTTGTTGTGTTGGTAGTTGTTGTTGTGTTGGTAGTTGTTGTGTTGGAGTTGTTGTGTTGGTAGTTGTTATTGTGTTGGTAGTTGTTGTTGTGTTGGTAGTTGTTGTCGTGTTGGTAGTTGTCGTGTTGGTAGTTGTTGTCGTGTTGGTAGTTGTTGTGTTGGTAGTTGTTGTTGTGTTGGTAGTTGTTGTGTTGGTAGTTGTTGTTGTGTTGGTAGTTGTTGTGTTGGGAGTTGTCGTGTTGGTAGTTGTGTTGGTAGTTGTTGTCGTGTTGGTAGTTGTTGTCGTGTTGGTAGTTGTTGTTGTGTTGGTAGTTGTTGTGTTGGTAGTTGTTGTTGTGTTGGAGTTGTTGTGTTGGTAGTTGTTGTCGTGTTGGTAGTTGTTGTTGTGTTGGTAGTTGTTGTCGTGTTGGTAGTTGTTGTCGTGTTGGTAGTTGTTGTCGTGTTGGTAGTTGTTGTGTTGGTAGTTGTTGTTGTGTTGGGAGTTGTTGTGTTGGTAGTTGTTGTCGTGTTGGTAGTTGTTGTTGTGTTGGTAGTTGTTGTGTTGGTAGTTGTTGTTGTGTTGGTAGTTGTTGTTGTGTTGGTAGTTGTTGTTGTTGTTGTGTTGGAGTTGTTGTGTTGGTAGTTGTTGTCGTGTTGGTAGTTGTTGTCCTGTTGGTAGTTGTTGTGTTGGTAGTTGTTGTGTTGGTAGTTGTTGTTGTGTTGGTAGTTGTTGTCGTGTTGGTAGTTGTTGTCGTGTTGGTAGTTGTTGTCGTGTTGGTAGTTGTTGTGTTGGTAGTTGTTGTCGTGTTGGTAGTTGTGTTGGTAGTTGTTGTCGTGTTGGTAGTTGTTGTGTTGGGAGTTGTTGTTGTGTTGGTAGTTGTTGTGTTGGTAGTTGTTGTTGTGTTGGTAGTTGTTGTTGTGTTGGTAGTTGTTGTTGTGTTGGTAGTTGTTGTCGTGTTGGTAGTTGTTGTCGTGTTGGTAGTTGTTGTGTTGGAGTTGTTGTGTTGGTAGTTGTTGTTGTGTTGGTAGTTGTTGTGTTCGTAGTTGTTGTGTTGGTAGTTGTGTTGGTAGTTGTTTTTGTGTTGGTAGTTGTTGTTGTGTTGGTAGTTGTTGTTGTGTTGGTAGTTGTTGTGTTGGTAGTTGTTGTTGTGTTGGTAGTTGTTGTGTTGGTAGTTGTTGTGTTGGTAGTTGTTGTTGTGTTGGTAGTTGTTGTGTTGGAGTTGTTGTGTTGGTAGTTGTTGTCGTGTTGGTAGTTGTTGTGTTGGTAGTTGTTGTCGTGTTGGTAGTTGTTGTGTTGGTAGTTGTTGTTGTGTTGGTAGTTGTTGTTGTGTTGGTAGTTGTTGTTGTGTTGGTAGTTGTTGTGTTGGTAGTTGTTGTTGTGTTGGTAGTTGTTGTGTTGGTAGTTGTTGTCGTGTTGGAGTTGTTGTCGTGTTGGTAGTTGTTGTGTTGGTAGTTGTTGTGTTGGTAGTTGTTGTGTTGGTAGTTGTGTTGGTAGTTGTTGTTGTGTTGGTAGTTGTTGTTGTGTTGGTAGTTGTTGTGTTGGTAGTTGTTGTGTTGGTAGTTGTTGTCGTGTTGGTAGTTGTTGTGTTGGTAGTTGTTGTCGTGTTGGTAGTTGTTGTCGTGTTGGTAGTTGTTGTGTTGGTAGTTGTTGTTGTGTTGGTAGTTGTTGTTGTGTTGGTAGTTGTTGTGTTGGTAGGTGTTGGAGTTGTTGTCGTGTTGGTAGTTGTTGTCGTGTTGGGAGTTGTTGTGTTGGTAGTTGTTGTGTTGGAGTTGTTGTTGTGTTGGTAGTTGTTGTTGTGTTGGAGTTGTTGTCGTGTTGGTAGTTGTTGTCGTGTTGGAGTTGTTGTTGTGTTGG